TTTTTAAAAGATTGATCGCATGACGCATGTGTCCCTAGCAGTATTAAATCAACACGTTCGACACAGGCCACCAGATCTACATTCACTTTTTGCAGATTTTTGGTTTTTTCGATAGGCCTATTGATTATTTTATACTTATTTTTTGATTTTAGTTGTAAATTTTATTGGCGATTATTTTTTAAGAAAGTAATCAGCATGGGGGGGGGGTTTGAACCCCCTAAACCCCCCCCCCCCCCCTTATATACGGCCCTGTATGTAGGTACCTTTGGTAGGTATATAATTGTTTTTATGTGATTGGCGATTGGCAATAGCTTTGTTCCAACACAGCAGAAAACCGTACAATGTACCGTCACGATTCTGAGCAAAGTCAAAAATTTGTGGTTCGAAACCGTTCATATGGGACGGTTTTTGACGTGTTGGAACAAACCAAATGCTAAGTTGATAGAGGCGAAAACTTCAGATTACCTAAGTTGAAAAAGGATTTCACATAGGAATTTTCAACTTTTTAATTTTCAAAAAAAAGTTGGCTTAAATTTTACTAGTAGAAAGACGTCGAAGGTTCTTGGTTCTAGTGCAATTTAGAGTACCTACCTATACCTCAAAACTATACCTTAACTTTACAAGTGCGGCAACAAGAGATTGTCTTTCAAAGAAAAATAGGCCAGGCTTCCTTCCGTTGTTCCGTTATCAATGCATATTGTTGTCCGTGTGAAATTGTGATAAACACAAAAGTTGTAAACAGCTCATAACAGCAAAGATAGGCCGAGTTCGTTTTTGTCATCTAATTCGTCGATTGCCTCCGAAATTTTGACAGGCACGTGTCTGGATCAGACAGTTTCAATTTACAAATCACGTGTCTGTCAAAATTTCGGAGCGAATCGACGAAAAAGATGACAAAAACGAACTCGACCATAATTAAAGATATTTATACATTGTTGCCAAACCTATTTTCAGGTAATGTTGTATAAATGGCAGTTTGGAGAGAAGTATAATTATAAATCTGAAAACGGAATGCCGATAGATTTATTTGTTTAAAAGTTGTGTTCATTTATATTTATTTCAAAATATCTTTCCAAATATCTCAGAAACTGATCCGTTAAGACGTTCTTATAAGTTATCATGTATATGTCGTAGCCACATTGTAAATCTCGCCATCTTATAAAACAGCTAGCCACTTTATAAAACGCGGCCACATTGTAAAATAATTGTTTATTTTGCATTACTTTGTAATATGGCTACTGCTTTCAGCCATTTTATAAACTGGCAGATCAAGTACGAGCCATATTCTGAAACAGGAATATATAAGTACATACCTACCTGTTGTTTCGCATTTCGGCGGAATGCGCCAAGAAAAAACCAGGAGATAAAAGCAATACTCAATCTAATAGGAATTTCCTTCAATTTGGTACCCCACCAGGGTATAGGAACGTCGCTGCACACCTCAAATTTATGATTTACCTGATAGAATTCATTCAAATGATTATAAAACAAAGATTTTTCCACAGGTGGGTTATATTCATCATCAGGTTAATAAGAAGATGAAGATAACTGAACAAACATGGACTAATACTACTTCTCAATAACATTACATTCGTTTGAAAAAGGCAACCGTGAAAGATACTTGTTTATTGGCGGCAAACAAATAACCTCACTTTTATTTTATATTGAGACTGATAGTGATATTCGCCGAAATGCAAAATATCAAAAAATTATTTCCGTTTCTGGATATGGCTTGCACTTGAACGGCCAGTTTATAAAATGGCTAAAAGTATCAACCATATCACAAAATAATGTAAAATAACATTATTTTATAATGTGGCCGCGTTTGATAGAGTGGCTAGCCATTTTATAAAATGGCGGAATTCACAAATGCTACGACTATATATACAAACCATACCACTATGGGCATGGTGGACTAAAAAAGGTTTTTTACGTTTTGATGAATTCACTTTTTTGAGAGTTTTTTTTTTTTGAAATTCAGGAGTGAAACTCTAACTAATTAACTATCCACCTGAAGAAGACACTGTGTGTCGAAACATCAACATGAGTATCGTAACATCAAAATAATTTGTGAAAATTCAATTAAGTCTCTTCAGTCTCAAAGAAACTTGTATAATACTCGGCAACACTGCAAAAAAAATAATCCTGCATTGGGGAGTTTTAGCATTCCATCATTACTGATAAAAATATAGGAATTTTCAAAAAAAAAAGTTTGCTCAAAGCCTGTCTAGATACTGAGGTACTGAATTAATTATTAATAAGTTAAAGGTCCTACTTCTAATAAAAATTAAATCTTACCTTACAACTAAGATAAAAAGTAGCCCCTGGCTTTAAGTAAGTAGCAGTCCTCTTTGTCAGGGTCTTATATGCAGTTTCTAGCCCATAGCAACGGCCGGTAAATTTTCGTAACAAGGAACGGTGGGTTCTGATTAATCAATATGCGGGGCAAACCACAAAAAAAAATGAAATAGGTACCTATTAGAGAAAACGCGGCAGGACTATGGCTGCTGGCCACCGGCCACTATTCATTTGTCTTGCCGCGAAAAATTGTGCTGTGCTGTGTCAAGTGAAATAAGGCATATATTGGGCGCATTCTTTTATTCAGCGGTGGATCCATCAGTAATCAGCCTTTATTTGTCTAGCTCATAGAAAATAGGAATGTCTGTCTTATTATGATGGCAGCAGATGGATGCATTGCTGAATAAAAGAACGCGCCCATTGTTTCATCTCAGCACGATTCTGCGCAAAACCTAAAATTGGTGCGTAGAATGCAAAATTCGGATAGGTCTGCACTCATAAAAGTCCTTGACAGTTTTCAACCTGTCGGAAAAGCATCGCGAAAATATTTTTTCAGGCTGTCATTTGAAGATATATCAGTACATAACTTTATTATTTCTAATAGTTTGCAAACTGTCTACAGACCTTACAGACAACCATGGGCCATTTACCCCAACCCACGAAAAATGAACCATTGTAGTGACACCTACCGGTTGTTCCATTACAATTTTTCGCAAGCTTGATAAAAAAATAACTGACAATTTCAGACCTAACGAAATACACACTAAATTTGACATTCAAAAAAACATTCCGACATTCTAGGTAGACTTGACAACATAAGTTGACAACAAATGTTGTGTGGTCAGGGCCATTTTTCTTTTGTTCCACCTTATTACTAAACATCTTTAGGCGGAAAAGCATTACAGGTGGGTGGTGTACTGTGCAAACAGGGTGGTTTCGAAACCGTTCATGGGACGGTTTTTGACGTGTTGGAGCAGACCAGCAAACCTTACTTTGTTTAATTGAGTACGTACAAATTTATTTCAGTTTAAAGAACAAGATGTTTTTTTGAGGGTAAACAGAAATAGTCACATATTCTGTGTATGTTCTAGAATCACCAATTTTGGCAGTCTGGATGATGAACTCAAATTATGTTGAGCAAAAAATATTAATTCTAGTAGTATTTTTTGGGCACTTTTCATTATAAAATTCTATTGCACCTCTGCCAACTGACCTTATTCTCTAATTATATTGTATGGTACCATAATGAAACGATGCGAGATTGTCAAACCTGGTGGGTTCTGGCCAACTTCCACGTCCAGACGCGAAACCAATAAAATAAAACCGAGGGGTAAACCACTAGTGGAAATCATTGTACATTTTTTTGGGAATCACATAATAATCAATGAGAAATGCATGGAAATCACTTGAGAGTCCCTAGAAATAACCTGAGAATCGCTAGGAATCTCCTAGGACTCCATGGAAATCACATAGGAATCCATTGGCAATCGCTCAGAATCATATGGTAATCGCATAGGAATCCATTGGCAATCGCTCAGAATCATATGGTAATCGCTGGAAATATCATCTCATTCTAACCCAACATTGAGTGCTAGACAATTTGAAATGTATTTGATATCCCAACAAGTTTCCAAATAACTGAACCCAAGAGTTTAGAACTTGAAGAAGAAGAACGAGATGAAGCTTAGGTCTGTTCTCACAGAAATCACAAATCAATCAGAGCGTTTTTGATTGGTGCAAATCGCCAACAACAGTTTTTCTCACTATTTTCAACCAATGAAATTCGCTCTTTTTGGTGTGATTTCTGTGATTACAGACCTTAAGTATGACAATGTTGTATATCATAAAAATGAAAACATGAATCTTGAAACCTCTCTCAAATCCGACTTGCGAAAAGACACAGAATTTCTTCACACATCAGGGTTTGGCAATTGCGATTCGCTACAATCAAGAGATTATTCCATGGCTCAACTTTAATTTGGTTCTACTCAGAGAAGCAGGGACGTTTGTCGATCAAGTATTAAGAGTGATGGGAAGGTCGGTAATCCAAGGAAATAGGAACTTGAAAAGAAAAAGTTGACTAAATACTAGGCAGGCGAGAGGCAGAGACGATAGCACATCTGAATCAGTATCAGAAATAAGTTTGTTGAGTGAAACCCTAACTGAAGATGTCTCACCTCCAGATGAACATCCTAGTGAAATCAAAAAAATATCCATAATTTTAGAACCATATTATGCATTTTAGACACGCAATGGTATCTATCAACAACTATTTATACCTACAACAAAATCGGTATGGGCTAGTGAATGAAAATAAAGTTGCTAACTTTTGGAAGAGTTGCGAATACAGAGGTTGCCAGTTTCAGTGGAAACATATTTTTATAAGAGAAAATACTGTTTATTTTGGTCATATCGAAGCTTAACAAATAGACATGTTTTTGTAATAAAATCAGCTGGAAATCGGATGATTGTAGGAAATCATCGAGGTAAATCAGGTAATCAATTGGAAATGATATAGGAATCCCCAGAAAAAATGGACATCACCTGCTAATCATACAAAAATATCTGATAATCATTGGCAATCAGTCGCAATTCTTGGGATGGGAATACATGAGATTCATTGATCAGTGATTGCCAAATATGGAAATCATTATACATTTGTAAGCATAGTGGTTGACCCCTTGAATGAAACATGATATATTTTAGTAAAACTTTATTTTATAGTATTTGTAACATGATTTGTATATATAAAACATTTATATCTATATCTGTACACATTTATATAAAAATATTTGCTCTCGTTTTTGTTCCCACCCATGAAAATATTCATTTGTGAAACTAACTAACCCAAACAAACAAATTATCGTACCAACTAAGAACTAAAACAATCTATTTTGGGGCAAAACAAATTGATCAAAAATAAGAAAAAATAAATTAAAACAATTTACATTACCTTTGCACATTGTATAAGGTAATTTACATACTATAAAAAAAACGTCAACTCATCACAGTTCAGTTTTAGAGAGATTATTAGAGAATTAATAAACATAAATAGTTTATGATCTAATAAATATTTTGACATATATATAATACTTCAGGGAATGCGAAAAATTAGAAAAAAATGCTTAAATGATTAGGTTGGAAGAACTTTTTGATTTTGTACATATTTTTGTTTAAATAAGAAACCAGAAATCGATTCAATTGAATTCCAAAAATATAATCAACACAAAATGGAGTTTAAATGCAGGTAAATAGACTAAAAATAATAAGGAGACAGTCTTGTTTTTTAGTGAACATATCAACACTTTTTCATCAATATTTGCTATGGATCTAAAAGTATTTGTATCAACTAGGTGACTCTCAGTGTAGCTTTTTGAAGTGAAATTTATCTAGGAAGTGATAAAACATATACCTAAAATGACCTAGACAACATTTTCATTTTTAAATTAACCATCTTTCTACAGAGCCTTTAATAAAAGTATTTCTGTTACTGTTCGTTTCCCGCTTCTTACTATCTTCAGTCACACTAGTGTCTGTGTATGGCCCGCCTAAAAACTATACAGTGGGTTCAGCTAAAGTAAAATAGACATGATTTATTCCGATCAAGTGGGTCCTCTGAGCGAGTGACCTTATGAGTCTATCCACTTATCTGAAAAATAATGCCTGAAATTTCGTCCTGATTACTCAGGGATGCCCCTCATAAAGATATTTTGCTCTCATCTCTTTCATCTTCTAATTTTGCAATGGCTTCTTTGTTGTCACTCTCTCCGCTTTCATTTTCTAATTTTGCAATGACCTCAGCATCCACTATTTGATGCCTACCTGAGGTATTCCTAAGCTTGTACTACAGGTCCAACTTGTCCTAGCATCCATCACATATTTCCTAGTTTAGTTACCTCATTTAGACATCTTAATTTTTTTCATGTTCTATTTACGGTAGACATAATGTGACAACTCATTGATACAAACCACTCGGTAATGACTTTATAAAGTTAAAAACATATGAGGAAAAGGCAACTGTGACAATCCAAAAAATGCAGTCAAAAACTACAGCATTTTTGCACTCTTTATTCTCAAGTTAATATGTATGTACTTTGAACAACAATTACCTCGACTCTGATGTACTTTTTATATGTACTTCTAGGGCCGTCCATTGGAGAACTACCTAATTCTTGCAGAAGGGAGGAAGATCTCAAGAAAAACGATAAAAACCTTAAATACAATCGAGTTTTTTTAAATTGTTAACCCTTCATCCTTTATTGATTTTACAACCAATTTGAATATTAATAATAATATTAGCATGCTCTGCAGTCCCTGATAAACCATGGTTGCAACAAAGAATAATTTAATAATGCATGTATTCATTCCAGAAAGCCTCACAGAAACCTTGGTAGGTAAGCCTCTGAGAATCACCAAGTATCAAATTATTTTAAAATCTATATAATTCTTTCCGTATCATTAAAAATTGGGTTTCATTTTGGTTTGATGTCATATAGCTTCCTTAAATCATATTTTGGAAACAAATAAAACAATTTTCAATGGCATTTTACTCTGGAAAATAGATTAAATCCTTGACTTACTAAATCCGGTGCCAGTCTTAGTTTCAAATAATTTTCTGAGAAAGTATACCTGCACTATAGTAGTGATTGCAATTACTACAATTTGAATGAGTGACCAGCGTACCACATACGTGTTGTTGGCAGTTAAAAGGCTCATATCCCAAGCTTCTCGCCCTCTGGTATGGTGTTGGTATTGTCGCATTTCGTTGATGTTGCGTTCTACGCCCATGATGGTGGTCTATATTTGGAAAAAAAAATATACAAATTATAGAAGCTCGGGAATATTTTCCAAACTTCCTAATCCCTCAACCAGCTAATGTGAATTTGAAAGTAATTATGTTCAACTCTTGTTCAAGAGCATAAAATGATCAGTGAAAGCCTTCATTATCCAATCAAAATATTTTTTTGTGAGTTGTTATTATTTCAACTGATTTCAACTTTCACTCAGCATGTCACACATGAAAAAACGCATGTTAAATTCAATGTTACTTACAGTGAAATTTTCCATATTCATATTAAGTTCCTCCACATCTTTTGTATACTGTTCCCACATATCATATCTAACAACAGTCAAGTAGATGTTTACTAGTTTGCCAGCAAATCTTGAGAATTGGTTATCAATGCAAACTGAGTAGTAGCCCCCAACAGAAGATTGTTCCTGGTATTCGCTGTTGGGCTTCCATTGGTATGGATGAACAATGTCGCCTTTTGGATTTCTTACTGCAAAGCCGGCCATACCATCGCCTCCTCGAACTACCTATAGAAAAGATATTATTTGTGATAAAAAAATAATAATAATAACATATTATCCTTGCGTTCGGTATTTTGCTCGAAGAGCAGAGCGTGCAGAGCGGAGCCGTAACCACGTGACCAGCGAGCGAACAGAGCAGTTGAATGCTATATAAAAGTGCCAGAAATTTTAATAAACGAACGCGAATGAGGATACACCGAGTACACTTTTTGAATAAACGAACGGTAAAGTCAAGCTCGGAGAACTCAGACCAAAATAACGAACGCACGGTATTTAAGTACTAGTAAGCTATGAAACATTTAGATCCTGCAAAAAAAATTGAAACACACCCTATACCGTTTTTCTCGAGGTTTTTCTATTAAATGTATGAGCTTCTTTTTTATTCTACAACAAATTCAGTTTAATTATACCTACAGATTATGTATGTAGGTACCTCGGTAGGTACCTACTTACATGCTTGGTAGGATGGTTTTACAGGCATTTTTTTAATGTGATTAGCTCGGTGATTAGTTATACTGTTGGAGGAACTACACACCAAGTTGGGGATCTTGCACTGGAAGCATTTTATGTTTTTGAGCAGTTTTTCAACACAAAATTCATTGATCTAGATGTTTTTGTTTTTAAATTATCATCTGAGAATGATGTGGATACCTTAGTATAATTTGAAAAACTATGTAGAGAGTATATATTAATGAGTAATGAGCAAAAAAATTGTAATATGATATTTGTAAATTGATGATAATTTTGATTTGATGCATGGAATATTTGAAGAAATTTACTTATAATACCTGTTTGCATTTTTTTTTTTATAATAATCAGCCTTTATCAAATTGAGTAGGCAGAAAGAGAAACAATCGGAAAAATAATGCATAACAACCCGTTGTTGAGAGAGTTGTCATTCAAGTTTTCAAAAAGTTAGTCACGATTTTTTAATTGTATAAAAATACCTACATAGGTCATTCATTCAGAGCTGGGTCTTTTCGATTATTAAACACTAGACGTAGCATTGGTCAAAGTGTTTCCATTCAACGATATCATCGCTGATATTCCGTAGCAGCACCGCCAAACAGCACAATACCAAGAAGGTACCTACCTATTCTTCCAGGTTGCGACAAAATTGGGCACCCTGCCCTCAACAATACCTAATATGTAAATATTTATGTATGTACTTTTTATGTATGTCCTGCTAGTCAAAAGCAGTGTAATAAATAAAGACTGAAGGTGAGTTTACACATGCATGTATTTAGTGGCGCCAGTGGTCGCGCCAGTTCTATTTGCACGCTAGTAAAGGTTTACACTTTGTGTGAAACACAGAAAAAAGTGGCACGCCAGTTTCACTTTTAAAGTGCTTTTCTCAGTGTGCACTATGTCGAGTGAACTTTCCGAAGTCTGTAAAATAGTCGCTAAACTTGCTAATAAAATTTACTGGCGCGCCAGTTTTTATTGGCGCCACTAAATCCATGCATGTGTAAACTCACCTTTACTATTATTATTTTCTAAACCAAATATGCACAACATAATCAAACAAATAAAAAAACTTTTGGAAAATCTGAAGCAGTGCATGAGGAATTTTACCTGAGAGGAGTATGTTGGTTGAGATACACTTACACACAATCTTGCCCAATAAAAATGACACCTTTGCGAATGTAAATAAATAAGGAAAACTCAAAAATGATCATGTTTAGTTATCTTCTATTCACTGTATGAAAAGATTGAATATCTCTAGAACTCAAGTCAACCAGAACCAATCTAATCTTTATATGACAAGCACATGGAAAGACCACTTAAACAAAGCAATCTTAAAGAATGGACCCATTGTGTTTTTATCTATTTCCGTGGGATTATCTTGTTTCAGTCAAAAGTTATTATCCAAGTTATTATCAAACAATGTGGTTCATTGTATTAGGGCAGGGCATTTAACTAAAGGCTGTATACAATAAGGTATTAAATCAATATAAGAAAAGAGATTCTACTAACAGTAAACATGAGTTCTTACCTGAAAACTAACATAAAAAGTAGCCCCTGGGTTAACATATTGAAAGTAACAGTCCTCTTTGCCAGGGTCTATATGCACTTTGTAGTCCATAGCAACGGCCGGTAAATTTTCGTACCAAGGAACGGTGGGTTCTGTAGCAGATACATGAACAATATGCAGGGAAAACCACAAGAAAATTGAAAAACTTAGGAAAAACGTGGCATGACTATGGCTGCTGGCCATTTTCTCTACACAGGCCATCATTTAAATGGTCTTGCCCCACTCTGTTGTGTTGCCGAGCCGGTTCGTGACTAGTGTTTTGTGTTCCCTCTTCCTTGTGTTTGTTGTCGTGTCGCGTCGCGAGAAAAGCAAAGAAGGTCTTATCGATAGGAAATATCGATATATACATCGATACGCCTTCGGTAACGTTGCATATCGATGCGATTTTCTCACATCGATAAAGGATCTATCATTTATCAATAATACTATTATCACAATTTTCCATAATATTCCCATTTATGAATATGAAATTATAAATTATTGTTGCTTGGTAGTGATTCATGATGTGTCGTTACCACCTACCAATATTTCATATTTCAATAGAAATATTTCAAAACAATTAAAAAAATTATGTAATACCTATTAGAAGAACAAGCACTACGACCTCAGTTCCTTATTCTTGAAACAGGGGAGCGGTATTCCGGAAGAACGAGTGTTCCGTCTTTGTTGCTTATATATCATTTGCATATCATTGAGAAACACGCTCGCTTCAAGAATAAGGACCCAAGAGTCAAGACATGCAAAAACGGGCTTCTACTTCTAAATCCGGACAGGCTGAGGCTCGGGGTGAAGCCTAAAAATATCGTATCGAAATATTTATTATCGATTTGAAAAAAACGTAGATTGAAAGCAAGGATGATACACACTACTACTACAGGATGGCCTATCCCGTAACAAATCCCCCCTTCCCTCTTGGGCCAAATTACTTGTTGTGACGTAAGCAGCATGTTATTTCTCGCCTTGACGTAGGCTGTTTAAACAGCTGACGACTTAAGCCTAGTACTCATAGCCGCGAAATTCGCACTTTTTTGACATTGCGTCGACAATTTGACGTTTTATGCGTAAATCAAACGTCAAATTGTCGAAGCAATGTCAAAAAAGAGCGAATTTCGTAGTTATGAGTACTAGGTACTAGGCTTTAGTATGACGTCGGAAATCGTAAAGCAGGACGCGCACTGAATCGACTCGGACCGGTCGACTCGGCGAAGAGCATTCGGTAGTTTTTGATACTCATGCAATTAAATGAGACTCGGAGTCGACCACGTCGAGTCGACGAGTCCGATGCCGTGCAGGGATGTGCGTCTACACGTAGACTTTCATTGTCTACTTTACGTGTAGACAATGTAGACAACGTGTCAACAATGTAAAATAATATAAATGACGTTTAATTCTAACCTCACACTTTCCTTTTTTTAATTTTTTTTTATTTTATTATTGGTTTTCCTGATATTTTATAATCAGTGAATGCTGATATCGAAGTGATAGTGATAGTATAGTAACTTTTGATATTTTTTTTCGAATTTTTTAAAATAAGTTATTGTTTACGCCGCATGTAGACAATGTGTAGACAAATGCTCACGTAAACAATTCGAATTGTCTACGCGTAGACAATCAATTGTTTACGTTGACATTGTCTACACTACAGGCACATCACTGATGGCGTGCGCGGAGTCTCATTTAATTGCATGAGTATCAAAAACCAGGGATGTGCGTCTACACGTAGACTTTCATTGTCTACTTTACGTGTAGATAATGTAGACAATGTAGACAATGTAGACAACGTGTCAACAATGTAGAATAATATAAATGACGTTCAATTCTAACCTCACACTTTCCTTTTTTTTTAAATTATTTTTATTTTATTATTGGTTTTTCTGATATTCTATAATCAGTGAATGCTAATATCGAAGTAATAGTGATAGTATAGGAACTTTTGATATTCTTTTTTGAATTTTTTAAAATAAGTTATTGTTTACGTCGCATGTAGACAATGTGTAGACAAATGCTCACGTAAACAATTCGAATTGTCTACGCGTAGACAATCAATTGTTTACGTTGACATTGTCTACAGGCACATCACTGATGGCGTGCGCGGAGTCTCATTTAATTGCATGAGTATCAAAAACCAGGGATGTGCGTCTACACGTAGACTTTCATTGTCTACTTTACGTGTAGATAATGTAGACAATGTAGACAATGTAGACAACGTGTCAACAATGTAGAATAATATAAATGACGTTCAATTCTAACCTCACACTTTCCTTTTTTTTTAATTATTTTTATTTTATTATTGGTTTTTCTGATATTTTATAATCAGTGAATGCTAATATCGAAGTAATAGTGATAGTATAGGAACTTTTGATATTCTTTTTTGAATTTTTTAAAATAAGTTATTGTTTACGTCGCATGTAGACAATGTGTAGACAAATGCTCACGTAAACAATTCGAATTGTCTACGCGTAGACAATCAATTGTTTACGTTGACATTGTCTACAGGCACATCACTGTCATCAAAAACTACCGAATGCTCTTCGCCGAGTCGACCGGTCCGAGTCGATTCAGTGCGCGTCCTGCTTAACACACCAATATGGCGGCGATTACCAAAAACCACTGTATCAAAAACGAGGCCGATAAAGGCCATTCCAGACAACTTTGCATAACGCATAGCATACGCATAACCATACGTAAATGGTCTATGCAAAACCAGACAAAACACACAAAACCTAAACCATAGGGCGTTCGACCAATCAAATTAAGGCAATCCATCAACATTTATTTTGTAGGTTATGAGATGAGTTGTTTTTGTTTGTTCCGTTTGTGTTTAGTTGATTGCAAATTTTGATTTTTTAAATTTTTTCACTATGAATTAGGCACTTGAGGTTTCGTTAGTTTAATTGTTTTCATAAAAAAAACATAAATATTGTAAATATAATCATGTCATGTCACAGTCAAAAATCACGTGACTTGCAGCGACGTATTTTGATTGGCCGCGCATAGCACAGCTCCATAAGGTTTTCATTTTTATGGAAAATCTTATGCAAAAGCAATATGGCTGCTCCTATTCAGCTTGTGATTGGTCGAAATCCTTATGCGCCTATGCTATGCAATTATGCAGGTTTGTCTGTGATGGCCTTATGCAATCCTTGTAGGTGTGTATGATGCTTGGGTGGAATGGTGGAAAGAATGTCGTATCGTTTCGATAGCAAGAAGTATCGATAAGCCCTCTTCTTGAATAAAGGCTCGTATACGAAATTCGTCAGGATTCGTTTCGAAACAATCACATTTTCGAAACCATTCATCGGGCCGGATTCTCAGTAGCGAATCACCTCCGGATTGGTTTTAACTCCAGGGTAAGCGTGTCTATTTCCTATGTTTAACCTGGAGTTATGCTTAACCCGGGGGTGACTTGCTATTGAGAAACCGGCCCTACATGGGACGGTTTTTGCCGTGTTGGAACAGCAGTAAACCTTCAACTTTGTTTAATTGGTTGCGTACACTCAACCCTCAACTTTTCGAATGTTCTACTGGTTGCATAGAAGCAAGGACCTTTTAATTAAGTAATTCATCTAATTACTTTTTAATTAATTGCATAAATAAATAAATGAAATCTATTTTTGATTGCTGTTAATAGTTATAACTCAAAATGTGAAAAGTTATTTGAGTTCAAAGAACAAAGATGTTCTTGGAGCGCATAGTGCAACAAGCCTTGGGCAGCAACCACAACATTTATATTTTGAAATCCTATATTTATGAGCCTTGTTTAACGTTTGGTGATTAATTTCAATAAACTGTAAGTAGAAATAATTACATATTTTTGGGTAAATTTTTCAATGGGTACATCCTTCAGCAATTATTAAAGTGGTTTGTTTTTCCAAATTTTTTTTTATGTAACTATATTCGAGAACAATAGCGTTTTCTTTCCGCCAAGTAGTGTAGACTGCAGACTGTTATGGTTATGTTTTGAGATTTTTATGATGAAGATTAAACAAGGAGATCAAAGCAATTGACGTTGCCATCCCATCCCTTTGAATATAAAACTACAGGAAGGAGCATAACCTCGAATCTGCGCGACCAGAAAATGTGGAGGTTGCATATGGCCGACTAGTGTTTCCGGTTTGGAAGTCGCGTATATTTATTTAAATATGATTGTCAATATTATGACTCACTCTTTTCGCACTAATACCGGTGCTTATTATCACTTAAAACCGCTAAAATCCATTAAACCTCCTCTTGTGAATGAGGACACAGCGAACCACCAAAACAAATGATGAGTTCATACTTGGAGGCTCAAAATGGCCGTTTCCGTCCCTGCGTTGTTTGTAGTGGCAGATAGGAAACGCTCCTTCCTGTAGTTTTATATTCAAAGTCCCATCCAGCCAGAGGCCATATTTAATTTTTTTGAGAGGTGTTTAAGGCCTTCACACACTTATATAACGCATAAGTACAGGGTGACTCAGAGTAAATTTCCCTTTTCGAACGCGCCCTGTAGATCCAACTTAATATTTGTGGGGGGAACACTGGCAATTTGCGGCGACTGCGTGCGGATTAGCAGTAAACATGGAGCAGTGGTCGAACGAGCAACGAGCGTTTATAGTCGAGGCGTGTATAAGTGATGCTCCGTCAAAAAATTTATTGAAATCGTGGGTTCAAAGATTCAGACAAAGTGTTACCTACACAGTGGCAAATCAGAAGCGTCCCAACCATGTTTTCGAATCGAGCGCCTCGGATTTCCATTCGCAGCACGTCGCACAATCTCAATGTTCTCTGGCAATCTGATGGACTTCTGTTGGCCGGGACGCTTCTGATTTGCTCTCGGATTTGCCACAATTTTTCGCGAGGATAATCAAGCATAATCTGATTGTGTGACATACTCCCCTAACTCCCTCTCCATCAAATTCTGGGCCTGCGAGTGACATCACTATCAGCAGTTTATAGTGATGACGTCACCCACAGACCTCGATGGAATGCTTGCGATTCAGGCTGTGCTGGTGAGTTAATTTTTTCGTCGATTTTAAATGTAGAGAAGGTGATTTTCGGTCTGTTCTCACAGAAGAAATTAAGTCTTCTTGATTCTCGAGTAACCCCCCCCAGAATTCGATGGTGGGGTGGGGGGGTTAGGGAAGTATGACTCAAATGACACTTCACATAATCCAGCAAAAGATGCTTGGTTATCCTCGCGAAAAATTCCCTAATCAAAAACGCTCTGACTGGTTTGTGATTCCTGTGAGAACAGACCTGCAACCGCCGAAAATTGCCAGCGCTAACTCCTCCACAAATATTCAGTTGGATGTACAGGGTGTCCCAAATTCGAGGGTGACCATTGAGATATCGAAAACTATTAGAGATACCAGGTTGGTTAAATTATGGCAAAGTTGAGCAATTTTATGACCAATAAAATGCCGTTTTGAAATTTGGAAAATTCCGAATACTTCCGAAGATATTCGGAAAAAACCGAAATTTTGCAAAATCATTTTTATTTTTTCCTGAGTCTATTTGAAGAGCAATTTTAAAATAAATGTCACTTCATCATTGTCATTTTTTCCCCTTAACAAGATGTTGCTACCAAATTTCAGATTCGACGTTTCGTCTTTGGGCGGCCATCATCAACTTAATTTTCTTAAATACGACCCTGGATTTTTTATTCCAGATTTTAAGAGCTTCTGATGTCCCAAAAACTAAAACTATGTATCGCATTTATTCGAAAAAATATTTTTTTTACTTTTTAGTAATTTCCTACCAAAATTCTCGTCTGTCTCTCTCTAACACATTTAGTTCTTATGGAAAGTGCCAATAATATAAATTTTTCGAATAAATGCAATGCGTCATAGGGACATCAGAAGCACCTTAAATCTGAAATAAAAAATAAGGGTCCGTATTTAGAAAAATAAACTTGATGATGGATGATGGTGGTTCGAAGACGAAACGTCAGATTTTGAATTTGATGATAGCATATTGTAGGAGAGAAAAAGTGGTAATGATGAAGTAATTTAAAAAAAATATCACTTTATATAAAGTCAAGAAAAAATAAAAACCATTTCACAAAATTTCGGTAAGTTTATTGGCGAAATATTTCGTAAGTTTTTCTTGTCGTGTGAAACAGGAAAAGTTGACTTACGAAATATTTCGACAACAATTTCGTGAATAATTTCGTAAAGAGACTTTGCCGTGTAAAACGGCTCTTACTCTATATTTTCACATTTTCGAATTTATACTTCAATTTGAAGTAACTTATTCTCTTGATAACTTCCTATACCTATCTCCAGGCGTTATCGAGAAAAAAATTAGTTTCTGAAATTTTGTAACAGAAGATTAGCTGAGATAAGTAGCGATTTCTTGTTCGTAAAAAGCTCAATTTGACGACTTTTTTTCATAATTTTTTCTGAGTTAAGACGTTGTTTCCACTTTTCAAATGAAGTCTATATGTCGGATCACATGATTATGTCACAGCCCAGAAGACGTCATTTTATGACGTTGAAGTACTTGATTTTATGGCATAAGTACGTGATTTTATAACACACGTAGTTTACAATAGTAAAAACCAGGTGATCTGTATGACATATCCTGAAATCCACGTGAGTCGCGTCATTTATTGAAGGATGAAGGACCATAAATGTCGAAAAAAATACGTCAAATCGACGTAATTAAACTTGGTGCTTGGGAGGTGAACGAAGTCTAGAGAAATTAGAATCTGATGCTATATTTCGTACCTACCTAATATTATATAGGACAGGGTGGTGTTAATCTAATGATTAATGAATCATTAATACAAGTAGGTATGAATGAATACCTTGCTTATTTCAAATAGAATGTAGTTTATTATTCTCACATTGAATTGCTGATAAAATTCTCTTTATTATGTTAAAATTCCTGAAAAATCTGTCAAAGCATTTGTCAAAATGATTTTTGACTGGTATCAAGCCTGGTTAGAAGAGATAAATCTTTTTTTTTTATAAAGAAATGCTTCACATTTCGAAATGATAAGTCACAGGTATAGGGTAAAGGAACATTAACGTAATCAGACAGAGAAGTTTCGATGTGATAATAGCTTTGTTCCAACACATCAAGAAACCGTACAATGTACCGGCACGATTCTGCGCAAAGCCAAAAATTTGTGCGTAGAACCCAAAATTCGTATACAGAGTGGTTCGAAACCGTTCATGGGACGGTTTTTGACAGCAGGGAACCGTACATTTCATTGTCAGGATTCTGCGCATAACGTTAAATTTGTGCGATGATTCCGAAATTCGTATATAGAGTGGTTCCGAACCCGTTCTTGGGACGGTTTTCAGGCGGGTTGGAACAGACCTATAAATAAACTATGCATTCCCTTTGAGATAAGCAAGTTTTTCATAATTTTTTAAATCATTATTTAATCATTGAACTTACGCCACTTTGTATAATATTACGGAGTTTAGGGAACTAGTAATTTCTCTACACTTTGTTCAGATATGATTCACATTTCAATTTAAAAAAAAATTACAGGCGAAAAATCACTTATTCTAGAGGTAATTATCTGGTCTAAAAGTTTAGAAATTATTTTTTTTTCTCGATAACGGCTGGAGATACGTATGTATAGTATCATTTAAGAGAAGTTAAACTCATTAAATAAGGTAAAATTAAAAAATAGAAAAATAATAAGGTAAATAGGAAGGTTAATACCTATTTCGTAAAAATAAAATGTTTTGATGGCAAATTAAAAAAGTTTACTGAAAATTGAAATCAATAGCATGGTGGATACTTGATAATAATGCAACAGGAACTAGTAACCTGATGAATAATAATTCTCAGGTGGTTTGAGAACGGTAACAAGTTTATTGCGCAGTGCCTTATTTCTGTTGGCGTGGTTCGAACATACCATAATGGATTAGTTACCTTACAATTAAAAAGTACCTTAGATTAGGTAGTAAACGGTAGTAGGTATAGGTACATACCCATGATGTATAATAGGTGTGCCTATACAGTGTATCCATACTAATATCATATCTAATAGGTACATCAACTCGGAGGTTTTTCCAAGTTTAATTTAGACAAAAAGTTCAATTTCGCAATATTACTGCAAGAATATGAGCATGAGCCCCTCTCTAATGATTTAATTTCAGTTACGAAAAAAATGTAGCTTTTATTTTTAATATAGTAATAATAATATTTTATCACCGTACTTTCAAGATGATACCTACACTCAGAGTTGAGCTGACCTACTTTTTTTCGAATTTTGAACATATCGAAATCCTCCTGTAAAATAATGTATTGCTTCTAAAAACGTTGTTTTATTGTTATGACACGATATTATAGAAATATCAAAAGTCCATTTCAAGAGAACGATCCACTATTACCAACAACACACATCTGATAATAAGTATTTGATAAACAGTATCCACACATCATCATCATAATAGACTTTGTTGATATCTTTTAAAAAATTTAGCGTTATTGTGATATGATGTGTGCGTACTTGAAGATTTAATGTTGTTTATTTTGACGAAATCGTGAAATTATTGTGACATTGGTGCTCAGTGAATATTTTAATGTAAATTTTGGTGAAAAATAGGTACGAGTTTGAGGTAAATTTATTTGATTACCTATTTAAAAAATTGCCCCTGCGGAACTAATTGCTTTATATACGTACACTACACGCACCAAATTATATTTTTCAAATTTTCTCCGACTTGACATTTTATACAGCAGTTGAAAATTCTAGTTTGGGTAACTCGAAGGTTGAAAAAATTTAAATGATTAATTATTTAATTTAAAATTTTGCAGTTCCTTCATTGAGTCTCTAATAATTTCACCTATTGGTTTTTTATCTACTTGTAAAGACACAGCTTTGATTTTTTGTTCGGATATCCTATAGGCTTCGATTTCTAGGGCCTATAGTCTAAGAGCCTGTGACACAAAAGCCTCAGTCATCTGTTAGAAGGCCGTTTTTTGGTGGCCCGGTATGCAAAGTCCTCGGTCAACTAAAAAACGTAATGGTTGGCAGGTTTTGGTGTGCAGAAAGTGAGGGGTGGATGTATTTTCACTACCCCAAAATAAGGCTTTCTACCTTATGAGTCAGAAGCTTTTTTTTTGTTGTAAATAAATAATTTGGACCTACTGAGACCTGAACAGGAACGGTTGGCGGGCCTTCCCCCTCTCTTCACCATGCCCACCGCGTTTTAAGTGAGATTCCCAAGGGAAGTTCCTACCTCACAAGTCAGAAGGAAGAAAGAAGGTGGAAATTATACATTTCCACTTTCTCGTCCGTTCTGCGCTGGATTGGCAGCCGGTTGGCGCACTATTGCTTATTTAAACATATTATGTTTTTGCGAAATTGAAGTTGTTTTTTCCCTGGCTATAATTTGAAGACATAGTGGAGGCTAAATCCCATAGATCTATATGTTTGTCTCTTTTCAGTGTCGCTTTTTCGTTTTATCGAGTCGAGTCTCAAATCACTACCAACGATTCTGAAGAAGTTTTTATTTCAAAAGTGATAAGGTTTCACAGTATTGCTCAAAATCCAGAAACATCCTCTATAATGAAATTTGATCCTCGGGGGGGGGGGGGGGGGGGGGGGGGGGGGGGGGGGGGTAATTTTTTTGTATCTGGTCTTAGAAATTTACGTTTCTTATCAAAAGTGTCCAAATTGGAATACCCTGCACATTCTCACAACGTATAAATAAAGTGAAAATAAATGTTTAAAAAATTATTTTTCATAATTCATAACCTGCGCCCTCCTTAACCAAAGTATGGGTATATAGTCTGTCCGGTGAATGTTTTCCGCTGCGTCATCGTTTGAAATGTATGAAACTAGTCGGTATTACTAAATTCGTGGTCAGTGGCGTATCATTTCGAAGGGGTCCAAACGTGTTTTGTAACCGACATACGCATACAAATAAAACGAAAACAAATTGTAATGTCTGGGATTAGTGCAGAAATCGATGACGCAGCGGAAAACATTCACCGGACAGACTATAGTAGATAATCGATCAAAGAATTCTGCCGAGGTTTATGCCAAATTTGAGCCACTCTGATGTGGGTTTATTTAAGCCATTCTGATGTTTTTTTTTCCTCCTTGCAGAAAAAAAATATGTATCTAAAATGTGTGTATTATTTTTTTATCCATGTAAAATTTATAAAAACCCCCACTAATTCTTTAGATTATAGCGAGGGAAAATACAACTTCAATTTCGCAAAAACATATGTTAATAAACAATAGAGCGCCAACCGGCTGCCAACCCAGCGCAGAACGGACGAGGAAGTGGAAATGTACAATTTTCACTTTTTTTCGTCCTTCTGACTTGTGAGGTAGGAACTTCCCTTGGGAATCTCACTTAAAACGCGGTGGGCATGGTGAAGAGAAGGGGAAGGCCCGCCAACCATTCCTGTTCAGGCGTCAGTAGGTCCATATTATTTATTCACAACAAAAAAAAAGCTTCTAACTCATAAGGTAGAAAGCCTTATTTTGGGGTAGTGAAAATTCATCCACTCCTCAGCTTCTGCACACCGAAACCCGCCAACCATTACGTTTTTTAGTTAACCGAGGACTTAGCATACCGGGCCACCAAAAAACGGCCTTCTAACAGATGACTGAGGCTTTTGTGTCACGGGCTCTCGTAGTATAGGGCTTTGATTAGAGCTTTGCTTCTACTTGTTGGTTTGGTTATGAGGAATGAGCATTCTTTAAATATACATATCTCTAATTTCATTATTGAAATTTTATGCCGATGTCTCGCTTTTCTGCTCTTGCTTCCTGGTAGCTTAGATTATCCAGATTGCATATATCCGTTTCAAATTCTTGTAAACTTTTGACTCTTCTTTTGTTTTTAGCTATACCTGCTAAAGCTGCCCGCATTGTTGATCCTCATAACAATGCTCTAACGCATCACCAAGCGCACTATAGCACAGCTAGGAAGCTGGCAGAAGAGTCTCGCAATAATACAAGGTCTACAACAAATTACCCAAACGGTCGATTTCAGTTTTAAATTCCACTAAATTTTTCACAGCTTTTTGTTGTCTTGTTCTTAGCTGTACCTGGTACCAGGCGAAGCTCAGACATTTCCTGATCTTAAGAAGTCACATTTCATTTTTTTGTTTTTGTTGTTTGTTCTAAACACTACTTATTTTTTGGCGGATAGTTTAAACTAGACGAAGATTGCCAACTTCCTGACGAAGACTCCGACGTTTTGAAATGTTTCTCAAGCTGCTGCTGTTCTTTATGACGTGTTTCTTTTGATCTTCGATCTTTTTTTTGTAAAATTGCTGCTATACCGTCCTGTATTTTTCTTGCAACTTGATTTTTAAAACACCTATAAAGCCCTGTGGCGAAGTAGAAGTTTCCGTAACCTTATCTAATTCTCAAATAGAACAAAGAACAGGATAGAATGTTCTAGAAAAATCAAATCAGCCTGGGGATATGTTTTTCGATGTCAAAACCATTAATATAGTCACTCTCTCAGTTCAACAAAAGTTCACTTAGTTAGTGTTCCCACTATTTAGCTCGAATCAATCTCGAGTTTTCCTCATAAAAAATCCACTTAAACTCTGTTTACTATCAGCATCAACTTTTATTGAACTCACTACAGAATTCACCAATCACAAATTGGTTCCACTTGACTTTATACCTACCACAACTCTCTTATTTGGAAACTTACTATTAGGTAGGTAAATGGTAGAAACTTCCTTATGAACTATGTGTTTTAAATACAAAAATGTTCAATCGAGAAATCTTTAATCGTTACAATTGTAACAATATTCTCTAATAGAAAACATAATGGAACTGTAGAGTTCAAATACAACTGGTATGCAAAAAATATATGTATACTCCTGGACAAAATTATCGCACCACCGCTTATGATGCTTATGTGCAGTGCTGGTGCGATAATTTTGTCCAGGAGTATATACTATAATAATTTTCCATGAATGCCGAGAATACAATGATTTCTTCTTACTGGCTAGGGTTATATTCATATCTAAAAATACAAAGAAATACATAAAATAATCCATATCTACGTTTCAATGAGGGTTTTTTCCAGTCGAAAACAACCCTAATTTGGTGCTTGGGTTAATGTCATGAAAATATAATAATCTATTTGGACAGACCCAGAATGCAAATAACAATTGTCTCTTTATTAGGGTTGTCTGCTTCATCGAACAACTAATAGTTAATAGTTTATAATTGTTTAGAATAGTAAAAAATAATAATAAGATAGCTACCAAAGTTTGGGTATACAGCAGAACCTTATTTTTTCCTTTTGGCTTAGAATGGAGTTTCTACTTGGAGGTGCCTCCGGCATGGCAGCATGCCTCTTCACCAACCCTTTGGAAGTATTAAAGACACGTCTCCAGCTACAAGGTGAACTTCAAGCTAAAGGCCATCATGCTGTGCACTACAGAAATGTTTTCCATGCTGGCTACGTTGTGGCTAAAAACGATGGGCTACTTGCTCTTCAAAAAGGATTGGTTCCTGCTCTCTGGGTGCAGCTGGTTATGAATGGAGCTAGATTAGGTAAAGATAATATTGAAATAAGTTAAAAAAAAATGAAGTGAGCATCCTCCTGCTAATGCTAATATTGCCTTATTCTATTCACAAAAGAGAAATTCTTTGTTCTAGGAGTATATGGGTTTGCTGATGCTGCAGGTTACCTAAGAGACGAGTCAGGTGATTTAGTATTTACAAAAACAATTCTAATCAGTGGAGCTGGTTCTGTCTTAGGAAATTACGCAGCTAGTCCTTTATTTCTAGTCAAAACTCATTTACAGTCGCAAGCTGTAGATGCGATTGCTGTAGGGCATCAGCATAAACATAATGGGACTTTTCAGGCGCTTCTCAATATTTATAAAGCTAATGGTGTAAGTAGAACCATATGATGATAATTTTTTTTTTTTTCAAAAACACACTCAGTATCAATTTGTTTAAGATTAAGAAAGGACTGTTTCGAGGTGCTGTAGCCACTATCCCCAGATCTTTCGTAGGAGGATCATCCCAATTAATTTGCTTTGATTATACTAAGCAGATAATTACTAATTATGGCATCACTGATAACAAACTACTAAAATCATTTTTGGGTAGTATGGTTGGAGGTATAGGAATTAGTATAATGATGACTCCTTTTGATCTGATTATGACTAGACTTTACAATCAACGTAAGTGTTCTGATTTAATTATTTTCCATCCGATTTAAAAAAAAAAATTACAGCTGCTGATCCATCTGGCAAAGGCCTTCTATACAGTAGCTACTTTGATTGCGTAGGAAAAATTTACAAATCTGAAGGACTAATGGCATTTTATAAAGGCCTTGGACCTATGTATCTTAGATTAGGACCTCACACTCTGCTGTGCTTGATGTTCTTTGATCAATTTAGGGAGCTAGCTTATGAATATGCCCCACGAAAGACTGTCAAAGTACAAAATATATGAAATTGGATTATAATGATTATTATCTGGAATAAACGGGCTTTATTGAAAATTCTTCTCTGTACATATTGCATACGTTATAATAATTATCAACCTTTCTATTAAGGTATAGGTATACAGACCGGACCAACCTACTAGACACATAGGAAGGAATAAGAAGAATTAGCTTGTACCCGGTTTAGGCGAATCGAGGCGGCGCTGCCGAAGCCGAGTATAGCCGGCCTGCCGATGCACGAATTTTATTAACATGCAGAGACGATCAATCAGCCACCGTGACGATCCTGCAGTGAAATGAGTATCAGGGTATCAGTCAACTGGTCCCATTGAAGCCTTTGTGTCTAGTAGCCTGATCCTATATACCTTCTTGAATGTACGACCTCCTAGAACATACGTACTTATTTATAATTTTTTGCTGAAGAATATATTTTTTCTATAAATTTTATTTAGATAGGTACTAAGAAAAAATACCTATCTAGCTAATTGTGCTACAAATTTTACATTGCAAATTATAAGTACGCTTTTAAATATTAAATTAGAATGATTTTTCACAAGAATTTAACATAGTCAATTGGTTTTGTTTCAAATTCAGTTCAAACAATCAAAAATACTCTATGAGAGCGGTTGTGCGTGTCGTGCAAGGGCTGTGTTTTTAAAACGCATTAAAATTGTTAAAAATAAGTTTATCCTAACTTTACACACACGTCTACGTATAATTTCACTAAATACAGCGTGTTTTGTTGAAAAACTTTGTTTCATTTCTCATATCAGAAGTGGGATAGTACTTGCGATTTCCCCAATGTTGGTGATTCTATCATTGGTCATCTAGGATCTAGCCATATTTAACTCATGATGTCATGAGTCGTGTTATAATTGAAAAATTCGCAAGAAATTTGAAGTAAACGATTATCGACTTAACCCAGTAAACACATCTGTGACAATTGTTAGAAAGCTCAGGCCAGTCAGTGTAGTTCAACGCCGGTAGGGGTATTTGCCCTCGGAGTAGTTGTTTCCTTGTTGTTTCTGACCGGTCAACGAAGTTCACATCTGTGACATTTACGTAAAGTTTATATACATTTGAGATCAGCTTTTTATCAGCATTATTTTTTATGTCAAGTTTATGTAGATACTATGTAAACTAACGTTTGTAACAGTTCAGGTACTTGTAATGTTTGCCTAAAATTTTAAATATAGTGTTTACATAACCTAATAAGGAATTTGATATTTTGATATAGTATTTACATAATTTTAACATAGGCTAAGACTATGAATTTTCATAATTAATTTTTATTGTCGTAAATAAGTAAGTAATTTACAAACAGAGGGGGGCTAACTTGACGCTCAGCCCCACCATTTTGTTCAAATTTTGTTAGGGCCGCGGTAAACAATTTGACGGATGATAACGCAAAACGCAATCTCTAATCTGTTGGACGGCCCAGTTATCCGTCGACCAATAGAATTATAGAACAGTAAATTTATCTTGCAGATAGTTACCAGCAAGTTTATCTGAAGATGAATAAAGTTTAGGTACATATTTGCCCTCTTACTTTATTCGATCACCCCGTGTTATGTTTAAACAAAAAATGTGGTGGTCGAATGAAGTTATTAAAGATATAGTTTAGTGGTTATCGTCCTTATAAAATTTATTTTTGATTTTTAGAGACAGTACAATTCCGATTCTCAAGGAAAACATTTTTTTTAACAAAACTTTTAAAAAAATGGGGGGCTGAGCCTTAAGTTAGCCGCCCTGTATTTATAATATTGACAGCACCATTTAACACAATAATTCCAGCACACTTGATTTTTACCAAAACGTTGTTAAATTCGGTTATGGGGGGCTAACTTGACGCACTTTAAGATTTGTCCATAAAAAAAATGTTCCTACTGCAATAAATGGAAACGACAAACGTCCTTTATGTGCAGAACATTCATGCTTCATACAGTGGCTAAATAAACCTTTACATACAGTGGCGACAATAGAGGTCACGCCGCCATCTTGTTCCCAACCTCTTGTTACTTTTAAATATTAATATATAGGATTTAAATGGATATCTATCATAAAAAATTGAAATCGACGTATTTGATGACCATTATCAGGTCCATCAAATACGTTGTTTACCATGATTTATGATGAATGTTCACCTAAATCCCATATATTCATATTTAAAAGTAACAAGGGATTGGGAACAAGATGGCGGTGCTTTCAATATAAATATATGGGATTTTAGAACCAATCAAAAATGAGACAGAAATTGTCGCCACTGTGGGTTATAGAGTCACTGTAATGCTTCAGACATTCTATACCAATAAATGGCGCTAAATTATGGCGATTTAGCAATATGTCTGCCGAACAGTGAACGCTAAAGCCAGTTTTTTGAGGTTGGTTTTTGTTAAATTGTGTTTTGTGGGGTTTTCGCGATTTAGATAACAGAAACTATACACAAAGAGAATAAATACCTATTCTGTAGAAAATTAAAAACCAGTAACAATGCCCACCAAATACAAATTTGCTTTGTTGTTCACTGAGTTTTGAGTACCAAAGTTTATCATAGATGTCGCCTACCTCGGGAGCTTTCGCGAAAAAAAACGCTTATTTTTGAAATAAAACGATTTGAAAATCGAATTTTTGAACTGCTGCGAAAACGCGGGCTCGGAAAGAGACGTCACTTCCCGGAAAATGCGAGGATACTAAATTTTCCATTAGTAAATCATTACACAATTTTCGTCCTTTACTACGTTATGAAAAAATAAATGATAGGTATAATCGTTGAACTTATTTAAATTTCGAATTTTTTATTGTGTCAACAAGCAAGCCCATGAATATCGGGTTTAGCCCGTGAGACGGCGTTTTCAGTCACGGGTTTTTGTTTACATTTGCAATTTTTTTTTTGTTAATTTATTTAATAATCTGACTGAAATCTTGCAAAATATTGTTCATTCTCGGTTGCTTCCATGTAGTCAAAAAATATCATAATTTACCATATTCCTGGCACGGGAAAGTCGAGGATACCACACAGGATTGCTTATCGGCCTCGTTCTTGGTAATCGTGTCCATATAGTGTAGCACCATTGATGACGTCGTCAGCTGTTTGCGGTCGTAGTTCAGAATATACATTTATGATGAAAAATATTATTTAATTTTGATTAACATAATAGGCAAAGAGGAAGATGCAAACGAGATCCAAAAAAGCGGTATTTTATAATGTTAATTAATAGTACTAAAGCCAAGTATGCATAAAGCAAAAGCCCGCGGAATCATAACCTGTGGTGCAAACACCCCACGTCTAGGCGAGAAACGACACGCTGCATCCTCACTGGTTCTTTGGCGTGGTGCGGGGATTGAGATTTGATCTATACAGGCCTTATGAGGATATTCTGTAGCAGTAGTGTGTATTATCTTTGCGTGAAAGTGGCCTCTTAATTAGGGTCACCGCGACAACACTGTTTTCAATACTATTTAAATATTTGAAAAATGCCAATCGGAGGATAGAGATCGTTATTTTCATCGCTATGGCACTTGCTATCTCTGTCTCTCTCTTTATGAAATCAATAGAGAGAGAACGCCAATAGAGATAGAGAAAATATTTCTATTTTTTACAGAGTCCCAGACCAGTAAACCAAACATAGCTGGCAAACATTCTGCCATATCTCGGCACTAGTGGGTAACTGGCGGCTAATTTTGCCACTTTTTGAACGTATGTGGTCCGAATCATTCAGACCGTTTTACAGAGAGTCGAATTTCTTCCGAAAGCGGTATATCAAGGACGGCATTCAACCTCGGGGTAGAACGCCTATTCCATACCGGTACCAAAATCCGTTCTTGGGCCGAACGTCACCCTCCACGCGTATAACCGGAGCCACATGCGTTCCCGACAGAAGGCCTAGCGGACATGCCCTATCCACGCCGAGCCGGTACAGGATTTTGTCTTGGGGGGGGCAAATTTGCAGGAACGCCGCCGGGGGCCGGCAAAGCGCCGCAGGCGCGAAATTTTTGGGTGCCGCGCTTTTTTTTTAAGGTTCTTTACGGTATTTTTGGGTCTGTTTATTTTAATTTTGAAAAATTATTTATAAAATTTGAAGGTTTTGGGGGGGGGGCAAATGCGGGCTTCTCGTGTTTCCTGGGATTTGAATGGACATCTGTCATAAAAAATTGAAAACAACTGATCTCATGTACCTACTATTAGTTATCAAATATGTTGTTTTCAATCAGGGTTGGACGAACTTTTGGAAGTGGGCCGGGAAATTTTAGTCTAGCGGCCCATACATTGATGGATTTATGGGGCACATCTCCACACTTAGATGTGATCTATAATATAAAAACGACAGTGAAAAAACAATAAAATGCTGAATGAAAACGCAGAATAGAAAATTTAAAAATAACTTTTATCTTGTTTTTTATTTCAAAGATGATTTCAAACAATCAAAATGATATTTTTTCCTTTAATGGGGGGCTTAAGTTGAACATTTCCATAAGAATCTTCTCAAAAGTCAGCAATTCTAAGATTTTGTTATGTAAGTTCACTATCATCAACGCATCCAAATTTTCCAAGTCGATTGATTCCTAAACCGATTTTTTATGTCTTCAAGTGTTGAAAAGCATTTTTCGCACCCTACCTGTGAACACGCTAAAATAAGGACATACTGGTAAACGCCTTGAAGATGATTGTTACCACAGATGTATAATCTGTAGTTATACGAAACATTGAAACAGCAAACCAAACATTGTTTGCAAAGTGGATGTGATTAACCCTTTTTCAGAAAGTTCTAATTCATTCCCTGTATGCAACCCTATGTCATTTACATTATCTTCATCTCCATCATTGGATCCAGAGAGGTCATACAACTCCGTCCTTTTCGAGTCAGGCCATTTTCTTCCAAACTCTTTAAATTCCTCCCGTAAAATAGACGCGGCATCTCCTTTTTTTATGAGAATGAATTGCAGGTAACGAGTCTCGAATTATTACATCATTTTCATTTGCTTCCACTCCTGTATTTGCCCAATTGTCAAACATTTTTAGTACTTCAAACTTCTTTCATGTTGCGTTGTTTTTTTTTTCAATGCGCCACAAGTTGAATTGACCATTTTTATGTGCTTTCAAATATTGAGGCCATCCGTTTGATCTCAGACTTTGGTTTGAAGGTATGTTGATAATCCTGTTGTTCTAAAGATCGGCCCACACTCCGATCGGCCCACCGGGAATTTCCCGGTATCCCGGTGGGTTCATCCAACCCTGTTTTCAATGTTTTATGATAGATGTCCATTTAAATCCTATATATTCATATTCAAAATTAGCAAAAAAATGGTCGCGAGACGCCACTGTGTAAAAGTTTAATTTGTCACTGGGAACATTCACCAGTAAGCCTAGTACGTATAACCGCGAAATTCGCTCTTTTTTGACATTGCTTCGACAATTTGACGTTTGATTTACGCATGAAACGTCAAATTGTCCAAGCAATGTCAAAAAAGAGCGAATTTCGCTGTTATGAGTACTAGGCTTTACTCAGCTGCTCTGCTAACTTGCAAAGTAGAGCAGTTGAGGACAGTTGAGATAGAGCGGATGTAAACTTCCTGAACGCCCGACACTTTTGCGCATGTCTAAAGCATAAATTGAGTTAGTAAGCGTGAATTTTTACCGCTCTAGAGAAATCGGCAGCAGCCACAAAAAGTGGCTTTTGCTGAGTGCCGCTGAACGTGATTATTTTCCCAACTTCTTAACTGTTGGCAACAGTTGAGTGCTGGTGAACGTACCCACTACCCAAGAATCGTAAACTCTACCAGGTCGGGGATTCTAAAATCACGATTCGACATACGATTCGACAACGAGACGATTTTTCCGACGATTCTAGGTTAGAAATCTCATTGGCATTATACCTTTCGACACGACAAGGCCGGTATCGTTGTCGAGTCGTGTGTCGAATCGTGATTTTAGAATCTCGGCCCAGGATTGCTCAATCGGCTAAATTTGTTCACAATTGCTGTGAAGTCACGTGCATCCCGGATTTTCAAGATGGCCGCGGATACGAATGATGTTCAGTTTGTGCTGACAATTATTTTATCGTAAATTCGGATTTATCAAGTATGTTATACCTAAGTGTAATTTAAAGTTTCATTTAATGTGTGTAAGCATGAAAGACTCGTGGCTGAAAATACTCGCGAATACCCCAAGCATTTTCTGGTTTTAGTGGTTTTATAATACTGGATTTGTTGTATCAGTACATCGCTTTCTTTTATTAGTGTGTATTTGCTAGTTTTCTACTGTAGTATTTCCTAGTCAAGCATTTGTATTGCTTTTTTTTGTAAATCAAATATCTACTTAGTTGTAAGTTTCCTTTGCATGTAATTACTAACAATTAGTGTTTGTGAAGAGTGAATAAATAAATATGTAAATAAATTCCTTTACTGGAGCGTTTACTATGAAAACGCATGGAAAATATGGGAAACTTGCAGTGTTTTTCTGGAATATGATTATGAAAATCTAAATTAGGTACATATCACTATTTGGCTTTGTGAAATAAGCTTACTTTGAATGTCCATATTAAATCGTTCTAGTACCTATACCTACCTATTAAACTATTGAATAATAATTGAGAAGTAGGTAGGTGCAGTAAAAAATAAAACACACTATTGCATCCACGTTTCGCTTATATTTTAATATTGAACTGCAAAAATTAAACCAGCTCGCTCAAGTTGGCACCCCACATTTGGTTTTCTACTGTTTCTCAACTGTCAATTGTGCCCGTTTTGTGCTCAATTGTGCTAGTATTTATGCGAATTGTGCTCATTTCCATACACAAAAAAAAGATTGAAACAAATCCGGGGGCCAGCTTGACTCCAGCCCTTTGTTTTTTTGACTTTTTAACAATATGTTTGGCTAATTGATAAACAAAAGCAAACAAATTCGTCTTTCTAACCGTGCGTTCGTTATTTTGGTCTGAGTTCTCCGAGCTTGACTTTACCGTTCGTTTATTTGAAAAGTGTACTCGGTGCAGCCGCATTCGCGTTCGTTTATTAAAATTTCTGACACTTTTATACAGCGTTCAACTGCACTGTTCGCTCGCTGGTCACGTGATTACGGCTCCGCTCAGCACGCTCTGCTCTTTGAGCAAAATACCGAACGCAAGGTAATTCAAGCCTCAAGGACACAAACTTCAAAAGTCTGCTAATTTTAAAATTAATAAATTAATTACAAAATACAGTTTTCAAAGGAAATAACCTCAAAATAACAATTTTTCACGTTTGAAAATGCAAGGTAAGTGCACTTTTATAATAAAACACAAACCGATCAAGGACTGCGTGACGTCATTCGCATACCGCCATCTTCGATGTTTTTATGAACGTTTGTCTTATGGGATTGAGCAATCCTGTAGAGTTTACGATTCTTGCCCACTACCGAACTCAAACCATAATTCACGAAAGCCAGCAGCGCATCCTGTTCCTTTCTAATCGGGGTCGACTAGCACCGGAGCGAGTAGCTCTAGTGTTCTCTCTTGAAAAGAATACAACTAACCTTGCGTTCGGTATTTTGCTCAAAAAGCAGAGCGTGCTGAGCGGAGCCGTAATCACGTGACCAGTGAGCGCACAGAGCAGTTGAACGCTGTTTAAAAGTGCCAGAAATTTTAATAAACGAACGCGAATGAGGCTGCACCGAGTACACTTTTTAAATAAACGAACGGTAAAGTCAAGCTCGGAGAACTCGGACCAAAATAACGAACGCACGGTAACTACTGTAATCTAGTGCTGACGTCAGCTTGGCGTGCTGCTAATTCCTACTATTTTACCATTTTCACAATCCCGCTTTAAACATGAAAGGGTAGATGGCGCTGATTAGCCGAAGTTTTCCACGCTCAATTATTTTCTACTATTTTCTTCCCCAAATCTTCTGTTCAAGTTACAAGAAACTTAAAATCGGAATATATTAATGATAATATTTCACAGTTTTAATTTGCTATTTATAGCTTCATGAGTGCATAGTTTAGTTTAGTTTAAACTTTAAAGAGGAGCAACGGTTTTACACAATTTGACAACACCGTAAGAAAAATAAATAAATATTTAAAATTTTGCATGATGTTGGTGGTGAGGCGCGGGGCCGTTAGATGGCGGCACACTTCGCAGTGTTGCCAGGTCGTAGAATAGGTGGTCGCAGGATTACTTTTTACTATATTTTTTCATTTCAACAGAAACGTATTTACGCATTTGGCAAAAAAATTACATTGATGAAAAAATGTTAGTGTATTTTAAAATAGAATTGTGCAGAGTATTTTATATTCCAATAATTATTTTTTTTTTAGAGGGGACATAATTTTTGAGATTATCATTTGGATAAAAAATTACTTTCCACTATTCTACAATTCATCATCTATATACCAACCCACCACAAATTTCATTGATTTTGAATATACGAAAAATAGATGTATCAGAGGTACCCAGTTTCTCAATTTTAGAGTTATTGCGCAGAACCAATTTCTTCTCTCAAGATAAAAATCAGAGGTGATTTTGAAAATAATCGAGATAAGAGCGTAAAAGTATGTCCAACTATTATTTATGCGAAGTTCCACCCTGACCCCAAATAAAAATAATCAAATTTTCGTATAAAGGCTAGAAAGAAAATAAAGTTGCTACCGTTGACAGATATATCAATCTGGCAACACTGATTAGTGTTAGTCGCAAAGGTCAGTCAATTTGACAGTCGTGTCTCTGCGTGTCGAGTTTAGTTGCAAATGCCGTGCGATTGTAATGGTGGATTCAAAAGATTGGCTTGCCGTGTTTTTTTTTCAGTTCTCGTTAGTTCAGCCTTAATAATTCCGTCTGCCAGTGAGCAGGGATTGTGAAGATTTTCCAAAATAATCCGCCGATGAAGTATCGTCAGAGGCAATCCAACGGAATATCAGGACAGGGACATCCGAAACGTTCGCGAATTTCGAAAAGCCCGCCCGCGAATCGTGTTATGGCCGGTAAGTTGTGCTGCAACACTATCGTTGTGAAATCAAAAAAAGTCGTGCAAAACCCTTAAAATTCAAAATTATGGAAGGTAATTTGCTTGTTTGTGAAGCGTGATCGTCCTTTCATGCGCACATTTCTCAACCTCATTGCCTGTGTTTGATTTTTACCTATAGACATTTTTGTGGGATTACTTTGGCTTTGGCATTAAAGTAGTAATTATTTTGCCTGATGATCCTTGAAATTTACCTTGATTTGCTTTAAACAAACACAAACTGTCACAAACGGCTTCCCAATAGGTACCTTTTGTTTGTTAGGGCATCTACCTGTCCTCATATAGTTTAGTAGTGTGCCTATTGAATTATCCTTTTATTATTGAAATGAGTTGCATTTTGGTTTTTACATTTAATAGCATTTTTCAAAATTCAACAAATTATTATTGCATTTTTTCACTCTAAGTTCAAACTGTCATGTGATAACTGATCGGATTAAATATTGTAATGCATAATTTTACTTCTGTAGCAATAATTATTATTTAATGTTGAATAAATTTGTATCACTCGATGTTCAACAAATCGTAAACATACATAATATACATTATTAATTGCCAATAATTGATTTACCTTTCTTTTTCAATTGGGCACTATATAGTAAATCATGTGGTTGTACATTGTAGGTACCTATAACCCTATAACCAAGTAGCTATAATGATCTTCGAAATAAAAAGTGTCATTTGAAAGGATTTCCTTGTAGCTACATTTACAAAGAATTTTAATTGAACTTGAGAATTACCTGCTTGATACATGACCATTCAAAATTGAATTTGCTGTTAGGGTCAATTCTGTGCACAATAATTATTTAAATTGATGCAGGGTTGAGATGATTTCAGTCAGGATGATTGGAAAAAAATAACATCATGATCAATATAAATTTAGAAAAGGGAGCTTAAATTTAAATAAATAAAAATGTGTTTGTTTATAAAAAATAAAACCTATTGACTTCATTTCATGTTTTAATATTTATTATAATAATTAAAAATAAATACATACCTCAAATTAAATTGAATTGAAAATTAAACTAAATTAAATTTAAAATTGGCCAACATTCAACTAAGAATTAAGGCTAGTTCGTCCTCATTCGGTCAGATTCGGTGGTCTAGGACATGCATGATTTGCGTGAATAACGTATTTTAAAATTTTATCTTGCTTTTTTCTAACCTAACTTCATATTTGTTATAAATTAGATATTTTAATAATATGATTATCTTTGTATTCAGCAATAATGTCCATGACAAAATGATGCTATCAGCTACATTGCAACGATCACAGTAATCTTTTTTGAACAAAAAAATCAAGCAATAGTCTAAATTTGCTCCCTGCCCCAAAAATTTCTGTTTAGTTTTAATTGAGAAATGTAAATATAAACAAACATCTGTTTTGGCTATTTTTTCATAGTCTTCACTCTTAAACTTTGGTATTACCCGAGGTATTACCTATAGGTTCATAATTATAATAGAAATGAAGTACTTGAATATGAATAATTTCAAGGCGAATGACCCTATATTTGAAGCTGAAACTAATTATTGAAAAGCCATGTTCAAATTCCCCAAATTTGCCAGGTAAAAATAAGTTTTGTATAACAAAAATGTGTCATACCTTCTACCTAAAATTGTCAGTGTAACCAGAAATTGATAGGTGTATTGAATATCTCAAGATATTTCTAGACCCTTTGGCTGCAATAAAACCTTAATGCTAGGCTAGGCCATAAAAGCTCCTGAGTTTGCTACCTTTTGAGGCAAGGCATGTGGTCAATATTTTACCTGCCACATCAATGTTCTAAGTTTTATTAATAAAAATCAATATAGGTAGATTTATCTTGAGGACTAGGAGGCAATTTTCAATAACTAAGGTCTCTAAATACCTACAGTTCCTACCTACTATAATAGTGGTATATAACCCATAATTTGTTTTAACTTGAAGCTCTTGTGACCAATTTGTGATCCTTCCAGGAAATTTTTCACCCTCAAATTCTACTATGTATAAGGCTTCATTAACATACATTTTGGTAAACATTTTGTCAATTGGGTTTTTTTGTTTTTTTGGGATTTGTTGAGTTTATATCTGCTCCCTTTCTACATAAAAACATATTTTTCTCCACATTCTCTACTCAACTACTAGGGTGACGTTTCTAACTGGTATACCTAATTAATTTATTTCACAAGATTGAAACAATTTTCAAAAAAATCTTGACAGTATGGTGAAATAAACCAAAAATTTTCTACAAAACAAGTAGGTATTATAAAGAATAGTAGGAAAAACAGAAAATGAAAAAAAGGAAAATGAAACATGTTTGTTCCTCAACAACTAGCAATTATGACTACTGCGTTTTGATCAACTAATTCCTACTGTCATCTTGAAAAATTATAAATGGAATACAGGCTTTGATGTTCATTTATTTTCTTATTAGTATAAGGCGAGGGGTAAACCACTATTGGAAATCATTGTACATTTTTTTGGGAATCACATAGTAATCAATCAGGAATACATAGAAATCACTTGGCAGTCCCTGGGAATAACCTAGGAATCTCCTAGGACTCCATGGGAATCCATTGGCAATCGCTGAGAATCATGTGGTAATTGCTGGGAATCTCATTCTAGAGTATCTCTTTTTCTTATAATTGTTGTAACTAATTCTAACAATTCTTCGAATTTTGGAACTCACAATCTTAATATGTTCTTATAGGATTCAGGGTACTGCAAGCTCTTTCAAAAGTTTTGACGAAAACCCTAATTTCTACAACTTATCCAGTCTCTAACCCAAATGCGTTTTTTCTTTTTTTCTCTTGAACAAAACCTGTTGGCAAAGCTCGTTCTCTTCTATTCCTAATAATTTTATCAAAACATCTCTTCTTGGAGCCACAGAAGACATCTTTTCTCCAGAAAATTAAACAGAAAATTGACACAACACTGATTTTTCTCGCTAGCAGCAGCAATTATACCACTACCTTATAAAACCAATGTGAACCCAAACTAGTGGCTGCTTGCTGTGGCTGTTTGCAGCCACCAGCGGCTGATAAAGCAGTCTAGTCTGACTGCTGCTTAACCCAGAAATCGCATATCATAAATTTTAAATGATACAGCGTACCGGTCAGTTGTGTATTTGTCTTCAAGACTAAGTTTAAGGCAACATCGACGTTGAAGACAATTTGAAATGAATTTGATATCCCAACGGGTTGCCCAATAACTGAGCCAATAACTGAACTTGAGACTATGAAGAGTTTAGAACTTAAAGAAGAAGAAGGACGAGATGAAGATTAGGTCTGTTCTCACAGAAATCACAAACTAGTCAGAGCGTTTATGATTGGTGCAAATCGCCAAAAACCAGTTTTCTGACTATTTTCAACCAATGAAATTCGCTCCAACTGGTTTGTGATTTCGGTGAGAACAGACCCAAAGTATGACAATGTTGTAGAGCAGAAAAATAAAAAATATGAATCTTGAAACATCTCTCGAATCCAACTTGCCAAAAGAAGACACAGAATTTTTTCACTCATCAAGGTTTAGCAATTGCGATTCGCTACAGTTTAGAGATTATTCAGGGCTCAACTTCAATTTGGTTCTTTTCAGGGAAGCAGGGACGTTTGTCCATCGAGTATTAAGAGCTATGTGAATGTCCCTGATGAAGACACAAAAGAGAAAGTCGGGAATCCAAGGCAATGAGAACTTGAAAAAGGAAAGGGGAAAGTTGAATAAATACTGGGCAGTACGAGAAACACAGAGGATATCACATCTGAATCAGAATCAGAAATAAGTTTGTCGAGTGAAACCGTAACTGAAGATGTCTCTAATTCAGATGAACATTCTAGTGAAATCAAAGAAATATCCATTATTTTAGATCCATATTATGCAGTTTAGACACGCAACTGTATCTAGGGCTCAACAACTATTTATACCTACAACAAAATCAGTTTGGGTGTGGACAGCCATGAAAATAAAAGTTGCTAACTTTTGGAAAAATTGCAAATACAGAAGCTGCCAATTTTTCAGTGGAAACATGTTTTTATAAGAGAAAAGACAGTTTATTTTGGTAATATCAATGTGAAGCTTAACAATTAGACATCGTTTTCGTAATAAAATCAGCTGGAAATCGGATGATTGCAGGAAATCATTGAGGAAATCAGGTAATGAATGGGATAGGAATTAAAAAAAAATGGAAATCACCTGGTAATCATACAAAAATATCTGAAAATCATCGACAATCAGTCGCAATTCTTGTGATGGGAATACATGAGATTCATTGATCAGTGATTGCCAAATATGGAAATTTTTGTACATTTTTTGTAAGCATAGGGGTTGACCATTTCTATTTAGGGACATGAAGTACTCTACTTCCAAAAATACACAATGCTGATAGATCTAGTTTCCTTTTGTAAGAAGTCTTTCCATCAATGTCATATTTTTTTTCTGTGCAAAGCACCTGACAAAATTTATATTTGTATTCTTTCTTCCCTTTTGATACTCCTTAGTGGGAGTGAGATGAATAAAGCAAAAAATGCATTGCGTTCCCAATTTCAACGTAACTTTTCAGAAGTTGAAGTTGTAATAAATTTCTTTTTCGCATTCGATTTATAACATGGAGACGAATGACGCTATCGTTTCAGAAAACCGATAATAGGAACAAGTTCTCGAAAAATTTAAAAAATTAAATTTATGGCATAAACCATAAAATCCAGAAATAAAATAGCTTTTTTTTGTAGGTAATTTATTTAATTCTTCTTGTCATTTCGTGTATCAACAGCAAACTCGCGAGACATGAACAATCCACCACCAACAGCAGCCCAATGCAATAATCGCGATGAACCTCGCATCTTTATTAGTATTAATATGTTGGGTGATTTTATAGTTGGAAATTTTTGACATGCGTTACAATATATTTAAAACGGCGCATTCAATACCCTTAAGTAATTTGAAGTATTCACAGACTCAACCCAGAATCTTTTGCTTAATCCAGCATC